AGTACTTGAAGATCCAGAAGATCGCTCAAAGTACTTGAAGACCCAAAAGATCTCTAGAAGCACTTGAAGATCTGAAAGATCACTTGAAATACTTGAAGATCTGAAGGATTACTTAAAGTACTTAATGATCTAAAAGATCACTTCAAGTACTTAGAAATCCGAAATATCACTTCAAGTACTTGAAGATCTGGAAGGCCACTCAAAGTACTTGAAGATCTGAAAGGTCTCTTAAAGTACTTGAAGATCTGAAAGAAGTACTGGAAGATCCGAAAAATCTCTAGAAGTACTTAAAGAAACTAAAGGTCATTTGAAACACTTAGAAATCCAAAAGATCACTTGGAGTACTTGAAGATCGAGAAGATCTCTTGAAGTACTTGAAAATCCAAAAGATCTCTTGAAGTACTTGAAGATCCGAAAGATCTCTAGAAGTACTTGAAGATCCGAAAGATCACTAGACGTACTTGAAGATCCGAAGGATCTCTTGAAGTAATTAATGATCCAAAAGATCACTTGATGTACTTAGAAATCCGAAAGATCAGTTCAAGTACTTGAAGATCCAGAAGATCACTTGATGTACTTAGAAATCCAAAAGATCAGTTCAAGTACTTGAAGATCCAGAAGATCGCTCAAAGTACTTGAAGATACAAATCTTTTGAAGTACTTAAAGATCTGAAAGTTCTATTGAAGTACTTGAAGATCTGAAAGATCGCTCAAATTGCTTAAAGACCCAAAAGATCTCTAGAAGCACTTGAAGATCTGAAAGATCACTTGAAATACTTGAAGATCTGAAGGATTACTTAAAGTACTTAATGATCTAAAAGATCACTTCAAGTACTTGAAGATCTGGAAGATCACTCAAAGTACTTGAAGATCTGAAAGAAGTACTGGAAGATCCGAAAAATCTCTAGAAGTACTTAAAGATACTAAAGATCATTTGAAATACTTAGAAATCCAAAAGATCACTTGAAGTACTAAGCATTTGAAGATCCGAAAGACCTCTTAAAGTACCATAACTCTTGATCTATAATGAAGATAATTTAAAATAATTTATATTAGGGCCCAAATGAACTTTTAGTTTAAACCAGCTAACTACATTACAGGAACATCAAACAAAAGAAGTGCAAAGTCTTACAAGTTGTCCTCAGCCAAAGCCTCAGTACAAAAGTCATGCCAGCATGGACGTACTCTTGCTCTCTGTGTGGAAGCAAGGGTCTTGCTGCAAAGGTCTCACACACAACATGTGAGTTAGAGCTAGAGCTCATGCTACCTGATAATTGAAGAGGTCTAGCTGTGACATAGCAGGGGGTACATCAGACCTCTGCAGAGAGTCCACTGCTTTCACACAGAAAGCCAGTGTCTTTCTCTGCAGCATGGGGTCAGAAGACTTTTGTGTGTAGCTGCTTTCTAGGGAAAACAAACTGTGAGACTTTGCACACCTTTTGTTTTAATGCAATATGGAATATATTTTGCTGATTTAAACAAAGTTCAGATGAGCCTTAAAGTAATATGAAAGTCAAAATGTTTTTAAGCTATTTAAATGTTGTTCATTGCTACTCCTTGTTGTTTATAAGTTTTAGCTTACCGCAGAATTAACTGATCCCCAAGGCACTGGCCCTGATATCCTACTTTAGACTCCTTTCCCTTGCAGCTTACTGGCACACACAAGGAGTCACCCTTGTGTGTGTGCCAGTAAGCTGTCTGTGTCTCTACAACCGCTGAGGTACAGCAAGGAAAGACACTCCACTGCTCCCCGCTCCTCCTTCTTCCCTTCTCCAAGCTAGTAGATAGACAGTTGCTGGAGACTGCTCTGTCCCTTGTGATCTTGTACCAGACAGGAAGTTGAGGGAAGCTGAGCCTAAAGGGTTGGAGCCAGCTGATGACTGTAAGTATTCAAGCAAAGATATAAAAAAAATACTTTGCTGGGCAATGCATATTTGTTTGATCTCGATTCATTACTGAAAAATGTTTGGGAGTTTAATACTACTTTGATTTTCCATTTACAACATCCAATATAGTCAAATATATCAAGAGGATTCAGCTTTTTACAGGACCTCTGAGAAGGATTGCAGCCACTGGTAACATGATTCTGTGCAACCTCCATCTCACACTTCAAGATGTGGGGGTGGAACTACTACAGGCTCAGAAACACAGTATTGCTTGAAGTGCTGAGCATAATGGTTTGCATTATCTCAGACTTGATTAAAGAAAATGAACGCTGAGTGAAATGTAGAGCCTTTCAACAGGCAAGTTGTATCCCCTGAGTCAGTTTAAATGCAAATTGTTCGTGTTTGATCGGAATGAGCCTTAAAAAAAATTATCGCTCCACACAAGATTTAAAGCAAAGCTCTTGTTAGAGATACAGTATTTGTAGGGTGCAATTGCTGGACTAGATCTAATACATGATCTGATCTTTTTCATTTTGTGAGTTCTCCAGAAAACGAGTATGCCGAGTTCTGACTTTATCTCTAAACGTATAATGCTCAGAAACAGATGTTTCCGGGAGGACAGCAATGGAAACCTCTGAACACAAGTTTACTTTAAAGATACTCTGTCAGGTCTCTAAAAAAGTCAAAAGGCTACACTAGAAAAGGTTGTATACTCATCTTTCTGGCAGCCCATGTCTTCTACATTTGCCAGGTTGTAGCACTGCAGCCTCTGTCAGTCCCCTTGACATTCGACACTCCTGGTAGTGTCAGATGCCTGTGTCCACCACTGCGCGATGTGATTCCATCCTCCGACCCATACATCTCTGTTGCGTCCTGATGATGGAAACACAGTATGTACATACCAACTGTTTAGTCCAGTTTTACTAGAGGCATAGTGAATCGATCCATATTAATAACTATGTTCTGCTCTGTCTGCAGTGAACTAAGCTCAGTGGATAAGCACATGGCAGTAAAAGTAAGCTAATGCACACCAATTGATAAAGAAGTCCAAATTCAGGGCTTTAAAAAAGAACAGCACTAAAAAGTAAGGGTCTGTGTTGTCTTGAAAGTCCTGATTCAGATCTCTTCCAGAACTTGTAACCCTACCTCTACAAAACTGGCAGGTCTATTCACAAAAGGGTGAAACGTTTGGAGAAGGTAGGGGAAGTGAATGATCTAGGACAAAATAGCTGTTTCCAGTTTAGCTTTGTCCTAGATTGTTCACTTCTGCCTTCTCCAATCTCTTCACCCTTTTGTGAATAGCCCTACTATTGAAGATTTTGCCATAGATGACACCTAGTGGAAGGAGATGGAGGTACAGACCAATGGAAAATGAGCATGGTAGAACAGCATGGTGGTACATAACCTACACTTAGCCTGTACTCATCTGAATTCAACCAATGTATAGCTAAGGCAGGTTCTTCTCACTTAACAAGCCTTTGCATAACTTTTTTGGACATTGAAGGGGGATTTTTACTTATAGATTTACATAGAAATACCATAGATTTATCCAATCCCCATCCTGAAATAAACAGATGTATGGAAGATTCAAGTTTTCATGGTGCCACTGACTTTGTTTATATTTCCTCTGTATTAGTATTGTAGACGGCAGGCTGTTTAAGCCTGAAAAACCATGAGCTCTGGTCTTGGTCCTGGACCTGCTCCCCATGCTTTGCAAGATTCTGGAGAATTGCTAACAATCAAAAACATATATCTGCAATTCAGAGCTGGACAAATCCCAGGAGCCAGGTAGCCAATGCTCCTTACAAATGACAGCTGGAACCTAACTATTGAGGTTTTCTCTAGTTGTTGTCAATGGAGTTGACTCCTAAAAAATCCTCCTGACTTGGGCAAACTGGCTCCTATATTCCATATTAATTTGAACACCCCTGCTGTAATTCATTTGGTGAGTTGCTGGTCTAGTAATTAATTAACAAGAGAGACTTTAGAATATCTCAAGCTGTTAGAAGGGGGTCAAATGTGGTAGTGTGGACCAAGCTGGGTTCCACAGCAGCAGATACCAACAAATGGTTATGGCGTTTTGCAAATCCATCTTTTCATAGCTTCATTTAGTTAATAATGGTAACTTCTGCATTTTGGTATAGGTCAAAACGAAAAAGCTATAAGGTGGAAATTTGCAAAGATCGCTTTGCTTAATTTATAGGCTCTTAGTTACAATACATTGTCGATTCACTTTTGGCTATACAAACACTTTAAAACTGAACTCTGGGCAGGGAAACAAACCTTTGAAGTGGAATCCACCACCCCCCACACTGCTAGGGTTGAAAGCTTGTTAACTCTAGGGGGTAGATGAAGAGGCTGCATTACTAACCTTAACCTTAAACCCCCGCTCCAAAACTCTCCTCTTCTCCCTGTTGCTCCAGGCTGTGGGTGGTCCATTGGCATCATCACTTACAATGTAAGGTTATTATACCTGCATTGTATGTGGAGGAGCCAAGTGTGAGACTGTCAATTGTCAGAGTCTTAGAGAGGAGGCTAGTGGGGGCCAGTCACACAGATGGAAGGATCCTGCTGAAGGACGGCATAGGGTAAGTATTGCACCTTATTCCTCTATCCCTTGGCAAAAATGAGCATTTACCCTTTGTAGTGGGGGGGGGGACCCCACTGCAAGTGTATTTTTTCCAGCTTTAAAGACAAGCTTCTCTTTTTCATAACAGAGACAGCAATAAAAACCTGATAGAGCTTCTAACTCTTCCCCATTCTATCCAAAACAAAAAAAGAAAATTTTGGCTCCTGTTGGAAGTTTAATGAACTCATACTTTTTATGATTTATGGCCAATCTGCTCTGCTAAGAGTATGTAAGTAAACAATATGATGACTCTGAAAGCCTGTAGCATGTAACCCATCATCTCAGAATGAAAACCCATGGTAAAGCCAAGTGAGGATTTTTTTTTTCCAGCAGTGCTTTTGCCATTTTTTTACGACTAAATCAATAAATGTAATTTGCTAATCACGAAAAAAACCATTGTCGGCATCAATTGGTGCTTCTAGGTACTACAAATAAAAGCACACAGATCTAATAAAGTTTTTTTTCTTATCCCACAGGGTTGTTTTTCTTCTTCCGAAGATGCTTCACCTTTTTCTCATCACGTTTTTTCCTGGACTGCTACATTCTGCATCTGTGGCTTTTTCCGGACAGCAACAACATCCGATTCCTGACCCTTGCTACGATGAAAACAGCCTACCTCGTCGCTGTGTACCGGAGTTTGTTAACGCAGCCTTTGGAAAAGAGGTTCAAGCCTCCAGCACTTGTGGGCGCCCATCTACGCGGCAGTGTGATGCCTCTGACCCAAAGCGAGCCCACCCACCGTCCTATCTCACCGACCTCAACAATGCCGGTAACATGACTTGCTGGAGGTCAGAAAGCTTCCCCCGTCATTCTCCGCAAAATGTCAGTCTGACCCTTTCCTTAGGGAAGAAGTTTGAGGTGACTTATGTCAGCCTGCAATTCTGTTCTCCTCGGCCTGAATCGGTGGCCATCTACAAATCTATGGATTATGGGAAAACTTGGGTTCCTTACCAGTTTTACTCTTCCCAATGCCGCCGGCTGTATGGCAAACCAAGCCGTGCAAGTGTTACCAAACAAAATGAGCAAGAGGCATTGTGCACAGATGGGTATACTGACCTTTATCCACTAACTGGTGGTCTTATAGCGTTTAGCACTTTGGATGGAAGACCTTCAGCCCAAGACTTTGATAACAGTCCTGTCCTTCAGGACTGGGTGACTGCCACCGACATCCGCGTGGTCTTCAGTCGACCTCACCTCCAGGGTAATAGGGATACTGATGTATCAGAGGATGCGCCCGGCTATTTTTACTCAGTTGGAGAGTTTCAAGTGGGTGGCAGGTGTAAGTGCAACGGACATGCTTCTCGCTGTGGCAAAGACAAGGAGGGACGACTGGTGTGCGACTGTAAGCACAATACAGAGGGGCCAGAATGTGATCGGTGCAAGGCCTTTCACTATGACCGACCGTGGCAGAGGGCCAATGCTCGTGAAGCCAACGAGTGCTTGGGTAAGTGTATGATAACCCTGGCAACTGGATTAGGTCCAGAACCAGTTTGTGTGGAAACTGTGATCAAGAATTTATCAATATGGTGATGCAAGATATTACCCAATTTACTTTTTAGGGTGGTCCAATATCAATATATGATATGGAAAGTGCAATAATCCAAATTAATGTGACTTTTACCTTCTGCTGGTCAAACAATGAAAGACTTATAATTGAATTCCATGAGTGACTACCCCTTATTTGTTCATGACTTGCCCCTTGCACTGTGAATATTCTGTGGATGTCTTGAATCAACTTCCTGTGGATGTGTGTCCACTCTAGGGGCAGGTGAATATCATGGTTCCACCGAGGTGCTGTCAGCCCACTGCGTGCTAGCATAGCTGCTTGTAGTCTGATTCGGGAGTACGAAGAAAAGGGTGACATGCTGTTGCAGCGGAAGTGAGTAAATGTTGTCACCCTAAGAAGCAAATGAATGCCTGTGGGTACATTTACTGGTAGGATCACCAGGTATGATTCCAATGAATGCTGGAAAATGTATAAAAAGTATGACATCGGCATTGGCAACAACTGACGTGGTTCAAGTGTTTGGGTTCAGATGCACTTTAAAACTTGTATGCCTAGCCATTACTAAAGATTTACCAAGATGAACTCTGGGAAATATAAAAATGAACCCTTGTAGTAAGGGTTACCCCCCCACACACACACACATACACATACACACACACACACACACACACACTGCAACAGTTAACATCTTATTTTGGTCTAGGGGCTAAAAAAAAGAAAATATACTCACCTGGTTCTTCGGTTCCGTTAGGCTGCTAGATTGGTCCCTTCAGCCTCTTCTTCCCTGGACTCCAGCAGTCTAAGGACCCGTGACATCTAATTAAGCTGCATTAGTTGTGAGGACGCCAGAGCCGAGGGGGAGAGAGGTGAGTGGCCCTAGCTTGTCTCAAAGCCGCTGGAGCGGCAATGCTGGGGCCCTGTGCTGCTAGGGCCAGGCCTCCGCCTCCTTGCCCCTTCACCGTCGACCGATAGTCATGTAAGGGACCCGGGCGGGCCCCCCAGGCTGCCCGGGCCCCTTACATGAGTATCGGCCATACCCCCCTGATGGCTGCCCTGGAGGTGAGCACACACCACAGCAGGATTGAGTATACTTTATTTTAGCCCCTAGACCAAAATGAGCAGTTAACCCTTGCAGTGCGGAGGGGGGGAGCCCCACTGCAGAGGTTCATTTATACATTTCTTGCCATTCTTCTTTAAATATACACCCGTCTCCTCCTCTAGAGCATGTGGCAAAAATTTGTCTACCTTGTTCCTGTAGTGAGAAACACTTTTCTTTACACCCGTGACATTATCACCTTGTAAAATTATTGCAGGGGCTGAGAGCTCAGGTCCCATGGACAACCTCAGAACTACATCTCCCAAGAGTTCTTTTCTTTCACATAAACGTCTGTGGATTTAAGGCAGCAGCCTTGCTTTGCTGGAAAGAAATCAATGTATGCATGTGGGGAGGGATAGAGAGCGGTAGGCAATAGGTAGAATTCTATAGACCGGTAAGCTGGGCTTGCTGAAAGTGCCTGCTGCACACTATAAAGTGTTGTGACCAGTGTAGATAAGATAGGTGCTCGAAGTGACCGCCACAGATGGCACCTTGCCGAACCCCAGAGGTGTGAAGATAGGTCATCAGAACTCCAGAATGCAAAGAAATGATTGTTTATTGCAAAGAACGTCACATAGGTGCAAATTGCCAACGTTTTGGGGCTGTGCAGGGTTCCTTCCTCAGTTGTGCAGCCCCAAGAGGTTGGCAATTTGGACCTATGTGACATTGTTTGCAGTAAATTATATATTTGTTGCATTCTGGAGTGCTGGTGACCTACACTATATTACCAAAAGTATTGAGACACCCCTCCAAATCATTGGATTCAGGTGTTCCATGAAATTTCCTTGCTACTAAATATTCTGCGGTCAAATGTTAGTGGTATTATAACAAAGTGGAAGCAACTGGGTACAACAGCAACTCAGCCAGGAAGTGGTAGGCCACGTAAACTGACAGAGCGGGGTCAGTGCCTGCTGAAGTGCACAGTGTGCAGAAGTTGCCAACTGTCTGCAGAGTCAATAGCTACAGACCTCCAAACTTCATGTGGCCTTCAGATTGGCACAACATCAGTGCGTAGAGAGCTTCATGGAATGGGTTTCCATGGCTGAGCAGCTGCATCCAAGCCTTACATCACCAAGTGCAATGCAAAGCCAACTCAATACTGAACGCTAAGGACTAAGACTGGGATGCCATTAGAATTCATGTGCGTGTAAAGGCAGGCGTCCCAATACTTTTGGTAATATAGTGTATCTTCACATCTCAATAGGCAGGGCTGACAACATGGGTTAGGATATTTGGTGGAGAAAAGGCACCGTTATTTTTTGTACTTTTTTAAAGGCATAAAACAAGGGGAAATGTACTGAATATGTTTTATTTTTGCCCTGACGTACACTTTCATTTAATCTTCCCTAATACATGTAGTTATCTTTCCTTCCGTATTGTTTTATTGCCATCTTTGTAGACATCTTGTAGAAAGATCTCTTTCCCCTGCTCTGTTTTTATTCCTTCCACCTTCAATAAAACCCCGTTCCCCTCTCTCCTCCTGCAAAGCACCACCACCCCTCCCTGTGACTTTTCAGCAACGACACCTCATCCGCTTTGGAGAACAGATGCTCTAATTAGCACCAATTAAAGGAATCCTCTCTAGTCTTAGCGGGAGGTCCTCTTGCACACTGGCTCTCCCCATGTCTCTGCTCAGTAGAAAAGCAAACCATCTGTGTGGGAGGCATCTTCCAGCATCCACCGGTGGGAGGGAAAAAAAAAAAGTCAGTGATATTGTGCCAATATCAGGATATTCTACACCTGTACCACCAAAGCTTCTGAGTCCCAGCTACGGCCCGGGCTTGAGGAGCGCCTAGACACAGAGACGCATTTCCAGGAAAAGATGCAAAACATTTTGCTTTGCAGGAAAGAGTGTAAAGTTAATTAGTTAATTATCTGTTAATTAGGGAAGTGCCAGAACTCTGGGATTTGGCAAGCCCTGAAAGATTCAGATGGCGGTTTAATGAAATGCTAAGTATAGCCAATTAAATCTTAAGTTTTACATTCCTTGGAATTTTACAGTTGCCCCACACATAAGATAATTGGTGAGATGACCCGTGTAATTGCCTTTTACCATGAGAGATGCATGGACTGTAAAGGGCCATTGACTGCGGGATCAGAGATGTTCTGAAGGTTCTAAAGAACTGACTTTGATTCTACAGTTAAAGCGGACCTTTACCCCCTTTCACTAGAAATCACAACAGTATACAGCTCTGCATGGTGAAATGAAATCATCTGACATTCATTAGTTAAACATAGTTTTCTTTACTTACAATTACTATTTTTCCACTTCCTGGTCTTCTTCGGCATTAGTGATGTGCTGCAGTGTTGCATCCTGGGAAGGTTACATCAGCAGAGCATACAAGATACGAGATACTAGATTCTTGATTGTTGTTACAGCAGAATTCTAATATTCTATTCTGGAATTCTAATGGGTAGGGCATACCCATTTTCAATAATTATCTGCAGCAACCAGAACCATGACTGTGCTGGGTAGGGCCGTCCCTACCCTACATGCCGGTCATCAAAGGGGGGGGGGATGCAGATGCAGTGGGGCAGGTGGCCCTCTGTCCGGTCCCACCCAGCTCATTGACATCACTGGTTGCCAGGGGCTCGGCAGGACGCCAGCCAGAGCATCCCACTCAGCTCCTAGCAACCGATGACGTCAGTGATCTGGGCAGGAAGCCAGACATGGCATCACAGGTTGCTAAGAGCACTTAGCAACCTGTGACACTGTG